TTGCTTTTTTCTTTGTTATATTATTAGATCAGGACTGCTACAATCTGTTGTGGACACAGATAGTTTGTGATTATTCCTTCCCCATTGTACTATGGGAGCAGGTAATCTAGCTTAACAAGCAGTAACCACATGCGTGATTGTGTAACAATCAAGTGTTGGCCTAATAAAGCTGATGATTTTAATTATGGTTAAAGAAGTTGATAATTATTTATTATTTGTTATCTGGAACGGTTTTCTTCTATTGTCATCTTAAATGAAATGCAGAACGTATTGGAAGAACAATGTAAGTAAAAGTTTGTATTTTTGTGTTCATGAAAACNTGTATATGCCTTCTCCTTCTCCTTAACACCTGGTTCCTTTTAGAACCATTTGATTCAGTAAACTTGTATAATTATTTTAAGTTATATATTTTCATAAGCAGTACATGGTTTATTCATTTTGGTCTCACCTCTTCCTTTTTGCTCCAATGCATGTTGCCCTTAACAATTTTTTTTTGTGTGTATAAGCTCACACATACTAGGCATGTATGTTTGTTTAATGATGATAGATATCAAAATATTGTTTTGATTGTAAACAGCTCCTACAAAGCTCCTGTACATGTGTGAATGTGCATAAAACTAAAATTGTTTGATATCTTATAAATCTTAGAAATCAGTAGCAAAATGACAATGTTCAATATCCTTCTAAACAGTGGTTTTGTTAAAAACTGTAAATTGAGATTAAGGAATGGCAAAAGACAAACAATGAACTCAGTATTTACCAGTCTTTATCATAAATTGTGTCTTAAATGCATTTCATTTTATGCTCTATAACAACAATGGGGGAGCTTAAATGTAGCATTGTAATGCTAATCACTCCCTTTCAATTCGTGTGTAATGATATAAATAGCATGGAAAGAGTCAGAGCTCTGTTGCTACTGGAATGTAATATAGCTACTGGTTAATGTAATGTCTACATGGACCAGGAATTATGAAACTTTGGTATAACAAAACTCTGCCTTTATAGGGCTGATTGCAACTGAACAGTTGCATGTGACTGCATTATGAATTGGTTTAAGAAACGACTCCGGTTTGTATACACTCTTTATACAGCCAGTTGGTGTTTATTAATTGTGGGTAGAATTTTCAGATCAAAGGTTTTTTAAAGACGTGGGGTTGATAACAACAGGATGTAGTAATTATACAGGGTTTCAGATCCTTCTTCAGTTATACAAAAGAAAATCACATTATTTCTCAATTGCCTGGTTAGGGATTAAATCTGAAGTCTAGTTATAAAGAAAGAGCTCAATCCCCAAGCCATTTGACAGGACCTAGTTTTTTACTACTACATGTACTCTTGTAATACTCTTGTAACACTCTTGTATTTCAGGCCAGCTAATCAATCAGCTGGTGGAACCAGCAATGGCATAAGAACAAGTTTCCCAAAGAACAACAAAGTATCTGCATTACAAAGCCCAGATCATGGAAAACAAAGTAGCAGGGAAAAGGTTTTAGTAAAGAAAGATTCTGTTCTACGAAATCCTACTCCTAAAACACAAGTTAGTGCTGTTACTGGGAGTAGATCAAATGTGGGAAATTCTCAGCCTGCTTTGGGCAGTGGACTAGAAGCAAGTTTTGCTTCTCTAAGACGGAGTTCAGCTACTCCAGACTTGCTCAATACTAGTAGTGTATTTGATCCATCTGAAAAACCACACTCCTCATCCAAGCCCAGCAGTGCAGGAACAAGGTCATCCTCTCCTCGTCTCAAGAGACCTCCAACAAAGGAATCACGAAGTGTCTCTATCTGTGAAACAGAGGTACGTGGCTGATCTAGTTGAAACACTAATTGATTGTTAGACTGATCAATGTCTTATAAAAAAGGAAAGCACCATCAACATTTCAGAAACTATATTTTGTGTCAAGATATAAAACCTCTACCACCCAGAACTGAAAACAATGCACTAATTTTGACCACTTTTTTATATACTTACAAAAATGTAACTAGAACTGATTATATGGTGTATTTTTATCTTGTTCTTCAGAGGGTAATTGTTGTTGTGGTCAACTCTAAAAATGTTTAAATACTTTTTTACTCTCAGAACTTTTTACAGCTCAATCAGTATAGACTTATGGATGAAATTGGAAAGGTATGAGCACTATTTCCTGCCTATTTATTACAGTAGAATACTTTAAATCTTCAGTAGATTTGTTATTCCAATACTCAGCATCACTTTAAATCTAATATAGTTGAATCTGAACCTGGCTGGGAACAAACTTAACCCTTTGTGTATTGGTTGTATTTTTAGGGTTCTTATGGAGTTGTCAGGCTATGTTATTNGCTATTTCACATGATCAGTAGAACACTATTTTCATATGAGATATCTAACAGTACAGCTGTAAGTAGGAACAAAATATCTTACTAAATTTGCAATTGTTTCTTGTTTTGTCTTAAAAAATAACAGAGAGGTTATGGCAGTACCTGGACCACCCCTGTCAGAGCAAGATGCCAGAAAATACTTCATTGATGTTGTGTTAGGAATTGAATACTGTAAGTCCAGATCAAATCACTGTCAATATATCAATCAATTAAACATCGTAAATATCCTTTATAATTGATATGTTTTTCTCTTTGATTTCAGTACACTATCAGAAGATTGTTCATAGAGATATAAAACCATCAAATCTCCTCCTAGGAGAGGATGGTCATATTAAGGTACAACTTCAAAGTAATTTTGATTTTAAATTATATCCAACACCAAATTAATGATGTCATAACAACGATTGAAAAAAGATTTTTCATCTTCCAACTTGGAAGTCAATAGGTGTCAATGGCAATCTGTTAAATATACCCTTTTGTGATAATTTCTATCAAAGTAAGTGTTTTAAAAGCCTGTCTGTTGTTAGATATAATGTAGGATTTACCTTAACCTACTATGATAATAGATTGCAGATTTTGGTGTAGCTGACGTCTTTGAGGGTGATGATGCCTTGTTAAATAAAACTGCAGGATCACCAGCATTTATGGCCCCAGAATCTTTACAAAGTAAGGCTGAAAACTGCTGTTACATCATTTATGGTGCAGAATACTCTTGTAATTTGTACCGTTGATCAAATGGTCTCAAGTGCAATTTGGATTAATTACATGTAAGCTCAAGTAAATCTTTCAAAGACTAAAAAATTGCATAAACCGATAGGGTGAGTGCAATTTGTGGTCATTGAAAATTTTGAGTGTTTATTTATTCCAAATTGCATGAGGAAGATCATTTGATTGCTTGTTATTGATATAAATGCAATTTAATTTCCACTTTTTGCACTCAGTTTCAACTTTCTGCACTGCTTGGAATTACTTGATTTGCTCTCAATCAGCATGCTGAAATTACAATATTGGGTTTAGTGTATGACATCATCATGATCTTTAATTTGCATATGTTACACAATTTACAAAGTTGAATATCTGTGGAACTACAGGGGTTGAAATGTTGCCCATCTACCTGTCAATTTCAAGTAATTTTAGGAAGTGACAGGTAAAAATATTGATGCCTGTCGCTGGTGACAGGCAAGAAAATCTTTAGTAATTCAGAATTTATCGATTTGAATAATATTTTCATCTGTTTTCTACCCGCAGTCGTGCTTACTTGTGCAGTTCTTGCATGGTAGTTACCAGACTCTACTCAATAAGAGCAAGATGATGCAATCTTTCCGTGTGCATGACAAAGACATCAAATGTGACTTGCGTCGACTTGCTTTATTCTTCTGCGTTTCTTCGCCAATTAGTTCAGTATTTCTGTTCGCAATATGGATCATTTTCTAATGCGTAAGCAATGTGCTAAAGAAGTAGAAGTCGAAGAAGTACACGTAGAAGAGAATTTCTAAACACCGACAACGAAATGTAATAAATAAATGTACAAGTATTCAAGTTCAATGAGAAATGGAAAGATGGGCACCTGTGGTTGTCAGCAGAGGATGGAAAGATGTTCTGTTCTTACTGCAAAAGTTTGATAAAACAAGCAGAAACACTTCATCTCAGGCTGTGAGTCGATGCGCTTAGAGAACCTCATGCATGTTGCCCTTAGCAGGGTCACTGTAAAGAACTTTAACCCGTCCCTGGGCCTGCCATTCAATTATGGTAGAATGATGCTAAAAAACCCAGGAGACTAGTGGATGCCTATGGGCAAAACCAAAGGCCTAAACAGGCTGAGGCAATAAATTGACAACAAAATGTCATTGCTTTCTATCAGTTTATTACTAAAGATTGTACAACCTCAGTTGAGTTTAAAAAGTAAAAATAAATATTAGTTAAAAAATAATATTGTTCAAGTTGGATATTGGTGGATATAGGTGAAAAAATATTCTGCCTGTTATTAGACACAGGTAAACAATCTGGGAACATTTCAACCCCTGAACTAATACAGATATTTGAAAATGGAAACTGCTATTTTTAATCTTTCACGAAATTCTCTGTAATACCCCTAAGATTGGAAGGGATAAAGATTTGATCACAGAAGCTCTGTAGAGTAGATCTAATCTGGTGTATGGGGAAGGTAAAGCAATAAACATCAAGTGACACTAACCTGAAATTTGGACATACTAATTTTCTGTCAGATTCACGTGACCAGTACAGTGGAAAGGCTGCTGACATATGGGCTTTAGGAATCACTCTGTACTGTTTTATCTTTGGCAAGGTTAGTGGCATTACAAGCTCCTTGAGCAACACAGTGCATTGGCCCTCAACACGTATTTTCAACCACAAAAAATATGAAAATGTGCATAATGTGTGCAGCAATAAACAATGGACAAGTGAGAATAAAAAGCTATTCCTTGTTCTTACAGGTTCCATTTGATGACATAAACAGGATGGGCCTTTATGAGAAGATCAGAACTGAAGAGTAATTATTTTTATTTGTTCCAAGTGGCTTAATTTATTGATTTATATTAATATAGCCTGTTCCCAGAAGGAGGGGTACTTGCCATAATGGCCTATACAGGAAGGCTCCACCTGAAAGGGGAACCTTTTTCGGGCTTCAGATATCTAAAAAGGGAGGGATTATACAAGTTGAGGTATATGTATCAAAGAGATTACCTTGTATTCCCTTTTGAAACGCAAGGATAGTTTGACATTTAACCAACAGTCATTTAGGGTCTTCTGTGCATTCCTTCGTCATTTAATGTATTATTTGCACATCAGCTATTAAACGAGCAGCAGGTTATGTTGATAGTTTCTCTGCCTTGTCTCTCTTTTTGGCATGCGCTGTTGTTCAGACTGACCTTTCCAGAAGAGTAAGTATTGCTACTCTGTTTCTTGGTTATGATTGTTGTTATGACTTCATCATGTTCACTAAGATTATTGAGGTTCCCACCATGCAGGTACAGACAACAAAGGGAAGAAGAGAATACAACAGTAGTGAGGGGAATTGATTATGAGGAGAAAGCATCTTAACTCCTCTTGTCATCCTCTTATGGTTATGGTTGACATTCTTTTRYTARCTCACCCTTATTTTCTCCCCTTACCCCRTGCCCTTCYTTTTTTATCAGCTTTAATTAATATTATGTTACAATACTAGTGAGTAACTGCTAAGTAAACACATCTAGGAGGTTAAAAAGGCAAGTTAACTTTCTACCCCCTCCTATCTCCCTCTTATCAGAGTTCTTTTTAACTGAAACTTGTATCTTGTGTCCTACCTACTGAAAAAACTTTGAATGAGGAATGGGGAAACAGACAAAGTTTAAAATGGTTTTGGTTGTGTGTAAGGGAAAGATTATTATCTACACATAACTCGCAGTTGTCGCAACCAAACTAAGAAAAATTGAATGCCTGCATTACACTGTAAATCAGACTTATTTTGTGAAGTTGCTCTAAAGGTAGTAAACAGTGTTCTTTCGTCTAATACTGCAAGTTCTACATATCCTCTGCAATACATAAAGCATTGGGTAGTTAGTAGGGAAAGATTTAAGTTACCGTTATTTAATTTTCAGGCCACCATTAAACCCTCAGTTAGAAGATCTTATCTTGCGAATGTTGACTAAGGATCCCAACGAAAGAATTAACATCCAGCAAATCAAGGTATGTCCTAATCTAGGTTGTGAATTTATATACTGTGCACAATTGCTTCATTCCTTACAAACTGAATGCCCATGGCATTTTAAACTGCTGAACTTACAACAAGACCCACATCAAATCAATGCTTTATTACATTTAAACTGTGTATTTTTGGCATTTGATTGCCAGTTTTTTGTCAGATAAGTAGGGCACCATAGCTTCTGGTTACTGACAAAATAATAAACCATGATGGTTAAATGGCCCCAGGCAGGCCGGTTAACTACTGTGGTCTTATTGTGGTCTGATCTATTTTTCTTCAGGAACATCCATGGGTCACCTATGGTGGCAAACAACCTCTGCCATGCACTGCTGAAAACTGCACTGATATTGAAGTTACAGAGGACGATATTCAGAACAGTGTAAAGTCTATTCCAAAAATTAAGACTCTGGTAAGGATACTGCACTGTGTGAAAAGACTCCAGTTATTCTAATCTTTACTTATCTCTGTTTGAGACTGGGAAATTGTGCTTATCTCTGGTGAACACTGGTAACCAGTCTAATCTTGGGATGAGGTATATCACAATTAACAATTAGATTATGAGCTCGATATTTCTGAGGTGATAGGGGCACCTCAAATTTTGATGCTTCAAATTCACATAAGGGTCAATTTCCTTACTTTAGTTTTTTGGGGGAATTAAAATGTGATTAATATTTCTAATTATTATATGGCTGTGTCTCACAAGGACTGGGAACTACTGAATTCAAGAATTTGATTGGCTGAAATCGATATTGAAAGCAGTGTAGATTTTTCCATCTAGACAGGTTACATTTACAAAATACATGCAAAATGCAAAAATATTGACTATTTTCTTCTATCAATATTTATTTATGGAAGTGCCAAAAAGCCTGATGAGGAAAAAAGTAAAGAGGACGGGCTAACTTTGGCAGAATTAAATTCAGCTCATTGCTGTTCGCAAGCAAAATGTCACTTAGTCCAAACCAGTTACATTAAATGAATTAAATTGTTCTTGTTTGCCATATAATAAACATCTTATTAACCAAGCGTAGTCTGTATGGGAGAGTCTTGACCGAGGTCGTGTGTACAGACCTCACTACATTCGGTCTGTACTGTACTCGTACTGTATGACCTCGGTCAAGATTCTCCCATACAGACCTCCTGCTTAGTTAATAAGAACTAAATATTTTAGTATGTTAGTATACAAAAACCATAGTCATATTTAAAAAAAAAATGAAACATAAATAACAAGAGCTAATTAGGCTGTAGTGTTTGCCCCATTTTATTTCAGAAAGCAGTGGCTGCAGAAGAGCCGTATAAGATGTGTTACTGAAACATTTTATTTACTCATATGTATTCATTGTTTACCTGTTTGAGTTGGAATTCTTTGTAAGATTACTTTTTTTCTCAATGTATTTTTCATTTCATTTTCAGATACTTGTCAAGAGCATGCTGAAATACCACACATTTGGAAGCCAAACGAAAATAGAACGGATTCGTTCCCACTCACAACCCAACATTGCACCAGAAGCAGAGGAGAGAAAAATCACCAAGATTTAATCCTCAACTGTTATCATATAATTTATGACACACAGATGTTGTGAACTGGCATGATTCCATGTCAGTAGAGCATTGGCCAGGGTCACACATTCCTTTGGGAAATTTTTTGTTTTGCAATCTTTTTTAAGAAGTAGTTGAGGTGGTAAGATCTTTGGGTTTTTTGTACAGCCTGTATGCTAAAAGAAATTGCAATGGCAAATTGGCTCACAGACAATATTATTTTGCATTCTATCTTTATTAGCATCTGTTCTGCTTTGGCTTTATAGTTTAAGGGTGCCTTCCTTTGGGGTGATCTGAATCAGGATCAGTGGTCCAAGATCACTTGGATCATGGTTCATCAAAGGAACCGATGAATCCACTCTGGTCATGGATTCATTGATTCCTTTGATGAACTATGATCCAAGTGATCTTGGATCACTGATCCTGATCTAGATCACCCCAAAGGAATGCACCGTAAGACTTCAAAGGGCAGACCAGCTGCAAATACATGTACAAAGTAATGCATTTCAAATGTATATAAAATAGTCAGAAGGGGAAAAGTTAATATTCTAGATCGACATTGGCATGAGTATACCAAAGGATATTGGAACATTTTTTGGGATCTTTGTTGATATATCAAAGCAGCAAAGGTTTGATAAAGAAATGTGGATTTCAGATTAAGAAAGTTTATTTTCATTTAATCATTTCAGCAATGCAAAAATATCCTTTTTTATCAAATGTAATACCTTTTAGGAATCTCCTGTCATACTTTAAATATCAAAATTAAAGATTAGTGAAAGTCAGTTTCCCTATCATCACAAATTTGTTGAAAGTACATGTGAATGTGATGCTGATTAATCTGTGAAAAAACAAATTAGCATTAATATTAGGTGTCATTAATGGTGCAAAGTTGTATTTTACACAGTGCCTACATGACCAAAAGGTATGCTTCTGAGAATGAAACATGGAATATAGTTATGTAATGTTTAATATAGTCAAGGTTAGACTTGCGCAACCATTATGAAAGGAAATTATAGAGAGAAAACTTCATAGTTTCAAGCCATATACACATGAAATTTATAGCCAGATAAATTTGTGTTAGTAGCAGTCAATTTATATGATAAAGATTATTTTAATTTCATGTCTAAATCTGGGAATAAGATTATGTCTTTTGATAAATTGATTGTATACGATAACTCCTTCATGTAACCAATATTTACTCAAATTCAATATTTATTTGTTACCAACTTGGCCTTTGCTGACAGTGCCTTCAAGTGATCTCCACCCACTAAATGTCTATTTTTGACAAATTTATTTTTCTTGATTATAAATCGCAACAGATTGTATTAAAACTAATTATTAATTTGATTATAATCTTGCTAAAGTATAAATAAAGCATATTATCATTTAAGTATGGGTCTCTTTCATTTCATAACTCGATTTTTTAGATACTAAGGTATGCCCATGTTGATATTCCACCACAAAAGGTCCCCTTCCTTCATGCAACTTCCAGGGAGTGCAGAGTGTACACTTTAGAAAATGTATACAATAAATCCTCTAATTAGTGCCCAGGGCGCTTATTTCAAATTTAGGAGAAGACGGGGGACGCTTATTCGAGAGGGGCACTTAAGCGAGAGGGGGGGCTTATTCAATTTTTCCCAAATCGTGGCCTGACATGATCATTTTTGTAATACATCATCTGCACATAAACAACAAAAGCTGTTTATCAACATAAAAAGCTGATCCTAAACTTTAAATCACAACACCGTTAGTACTTGTAATTTTTTTCCAAACTTAATGTGTTCACAGACTGAAACAATGCACAAACCTAATACTACACAATGAAAACTATACATCCTTTGTTATCTCATTACTCATCCACAAAATGGGGGGAGGGGAGGGGAGGGGGGTGCTAATTCAAGGATTTACAGTATACTGTATCCTCACTTTGAACACTCCAAGGGGGTTGGTGTTCTGAATGCCAAACGTTTTACAAAAATATGAAGCTAGACTGAAATTTCCAGAGGAGGGGGGAAGATATCACCGTTTCTGGGACAAAATGATGTGGTATATTTGATGATTGACTAAGTCGTAGAAATGTGATAATCATGGGAGAGAGGAGCTGACACAGGATGAAATGACATTCGTGTAGGGAAGAAATTAAAACATAAGTTCATTCTATACTTTAGGCAAAAAAACACGGTGAATGATTTCAGAGTATATGATTTAAAACTGCACTTATTATCATAGTTAAAATCTTGCTCTAATAAGAAAGTTATGAGATACTGCAATGTACAATTTTAATTTCCCTTGAACATAGTGTCAAAACTGCAAACTTGGTGTAATCATTCTAAAACATTCCCAATTAAAATATATTGCATTTCATTCTTTAACAAAAGCTTTCTTAGCTGGTTCCACTGGTGAAGTGGTTCCATTTTTTAATTTCCTCTTCAAGTGTTTTTTAGCTGGCTGTTCCTGTGTTTGTTTACTTTCACCATTTTTGTTCCCATTATTTACAAGATTCTCAGGTGAGTTGTGACCTGAACAGTCCTCAGTCTCCTGAATGATGTCAAACTCATGTGTGTTCAGTCTCCACTGGGCTTCATCAGGGTCGGTAGCACCCTCCTCCATGGTCCTCTCTACATAAGTAGCATGACCACTGCCATCAACTAACACCACTGTGTTTGTTCTGAGAAAAAAGATAGAATGGGTAATATGACTGGAATAGACAAGCTACTAATACATAGCCAGGACTATTGACAAATCCTGTTCGAAGATTAGAAGGCATTCCAATTCCTTTTCAATAACAGTTTCCACAAGGAGTAACTCAATGTCAACGAAATGTTTGTAATTAGTAACTTAGATCATGGAAGAACAACCAGGCATGGTTTCCACAGTGCTGTTTGTCATAACTGTACTATAACATAACAATTGATCTTGCGCTGTCACTAAGGTAAATCTTTGCATCTCTGACTCAAAATAAATAAAAACTGACCACTAGGTCAATGTACCCTTTTCAATCACAGTTTCAACAAGGAGTAACTCAATGTTAACAAAATGTAATTAGGAACTTTGATTATGGAAGAACAACCAGGCATGGTTTCCACAGTGCTGTCACAAATACTATTACATAACGAAAACTGATGTTGCATCTTCAATAAGGCAAATCTTTCACACAAAATAAGAAAAACTGAGTATTACTTCTCATAAATCTAATCTTGTGGACTGCCTTAAAATGTAAGTTAGTGTGTATTTGCAAGGCTAACTTTGACAAAGATATTATTTCCAGTCAGAGGGTGAAGCATTACACCCAAATAATGATGAACACTCCTATTGATCCAATATTGGTTTTTAATCCAATTGGCGCAAATATCCTCCAATTAACATACAAAATGAGTAGAAATATATAAACAATAGCCTCCATTTGGCATGGAAATATGCTAAAATATTTGTCCGCAGACATTATCTGTTCCGAGAAGTGAACAGTTTTCTGAGAGCATATCTCGAGGATAACTGTCAGCTTCGAGGAACAGATAATGTCCTGGGACAAACGTCCAAGTATATTTTCATGCTAAATGGAGGCTATTATGTTTATTATCCTGCATTAGCTGGAGAATATTCAGTCACGTGAAACGTTTAGACCAACTGCATGCGAGCGAAAATATTTGATGGATTATAAACAACATTACATAGTGAGAAAACCTGTTTGACAGGTCCATTGACTGTGCACACCATGCAGAACTGCCACACGCTCCCTCTTTCCCTCTTTCCCTAATAAATTTATTGGCTAATAAAGCCCCTATTAGATGTTTTGATATGTAGTATCACTGTAAATGGTTACTTGTTTGTATTTTGACAAACCCATATGGTACAACTCATTAAAGTTTACAGTGATACTACTGTACACCAATAAATCTAATAAGATATTAATAACATCAATTTGTATCAAAGATTCAAAGCTACAACTGAAAGAGACAATCATTTATGGGATTAATTTGGAGATCTGCGGAAACTAAGCCATAATTAAGTTTCATCCTGAAGGTTGACTCTGTTGACTGTCCACGTACTGATGGTTGTCTGCAGACGTCTACCAGGGTCTTGATCAGTGGGAAGCAAATTTTATTCATTTTTCATTCTCAAATACTGTGTCAGTCATGATATCTACCTTGTTCCATATCTCGCTTCCTTACAGTTGACAAAAATTGCTTGGCATGCACTGATCCACTTCATGTTACCACCCTCATCTTGGGGTCCAAAGAAACTTTTCTCATCACCACAACTGAATTGTCTAACAACAAAAACAGTTTATTTTAAAATAAGTCTGTAAATGTGAAAGTGGCACTAAGAAACATTTTTAAAATTAAAACTAAGTTGTTAGGCTGAATTTCAGTCATCTTTTCTGCTTGCTTTTTCTCTGAAGTAAGGAACCAGAACAGGCAGCTAGATGACATTTAGGTTTGCAAGCCATGAAATAAAAAAAAAAACACAAGACAGCTGACACAGATCTGTTGTTCATGTCTTTACCAAGAGAGGGGTGGTACTAGCCAAATTGTAACAACATAGAGCTTGAGCTGACAGGGTTTAAACCTGCTTGTCATGGGTATAAGATTTATTACTCTCTGCATCCAGCTAATCTAGACCATAAAACCCATCTCTGTTATGCACCCTCTTGAATACATGCCCTCCCCCCCC